AGCTCCAGTTCTCTCTATCATCCGTCCCCATGCTCCTCCTCCGGCTGGTCTGCTTCCCATTATCACTGTAAGGCATACAGCAGTTGTGGAATAAAAAAAAAAAAAAGGCAATTTCCTCTTGTAATTATTTCACCATATTTCTGGGGAGACCAATTACAGCTACGTGGGTTTGCTCGGTCGAGCTGTGCCCGTGCACAGGGCTCTTGCTTGCTGTGCTGGCAAGACCCCGGCAGACGTACCACTGGGTCCCAGGATGGGCTGGTCTGTGAGGGACTGAGCCATCCCCACTGCTTGTGGCTACGTCCCCCAGTGCCTGCTGGAAACGCCAGTGGGCATTTAGTGAAGAAGGGATGCTATCTCACTGAAAATGTGATGTGAGCACCCAAGGAGGTGGCAATACAATGATATCCAGAGGCCAACACCACTTCACTAGCCCTGGGCAAGAAGAGAGAAACATCCCACTAGTGCCTGAGACCCCCTTGATCCCACAGCTGGGGAAACAATCAAAGAGAGGGATCAGCATTGTACTAATGAACCCAATCCAATTATATATCAGCCACCATTTCCCACAAACACGCTCCTGATTGTAGGGATATTTAAACGTCCATTCCTTCCCAAACCCTTCCAACCCCTCTAACCCAGCTGCAGGGGACAAGGGACAGCAGAGCATCGGGAGAGGGTGCAGCCATGAGCCCAGAGAAACAATGCCTCTTAACGAAGCCACGGCACAGATTATGATGTGTGTTGCTGCCTGCCCCGAGTCAACGTGCTAACAAGCGCGTCTCTGGCAGAGAGGACGCAGGAGCGCAATGCATCACAAAGATGCAGTTTTCTAATTAACAAAGTCTTGGAATAACTCCGCAGCTCCGGACTGGGAGTTCTCCATGACGGTTCCATCATCCCTGCCATTGTGGTGCTGAATATGAATATTCATTTATATTCAATTAGTACATAGTTCTTATCTCAATTTTACGAGCTTCCTTGTCTTTTCCTCTGATTCTCCTCTGCCACTGAAGGGGGGAGGTGAGTGAGTTGCTGCGTGGTATTTTTATTGCCAGCCGAGGTGAAAGCACGCCAGCTGCAATCAGCAGGAAACCAGGTAAAAAGCCAGAATACTCATTACAAGGTCAAGAACCACCATGCAGGAGACAAGACACCAGGTTTCCACACCCAAAGCATGGTGTTACTTGCTTCCTGTGATGGATCCTCCAGGCAGGTTGCAACACAGGACAAGGGATGACTAAATTGTCCCTTTCTGACCTCAAAGTTGCCTTGTAGGAGTCAGAAGACTTCCTCTCCCAACAAGAAAGAAAGAAAATTAAAAGACAGTGCAAAGAAAAAGAAGAAATGGCTTAGGGAAGCACCATTTGTGTGGTGCAACATTGCAAAGTCAGTACCGCAGGGAGAAGGAGATGGAAAACCCATCATCCTTCCTGCAGCAGCCCGTCCTGTTTTCCCATCCGGGGCTGGGAGCAGCAGGAGCAGCTCAGGGCTTGTCCCAGGGAGTGGGGCTCATCCATGCATCTCATCCCAACAGGATGAGATTTTCCCCTGCACACATCTAAGGAAAGCGATTTCTCACCCCTTGTCGTTTCCTTGAGGTGTTTGGGCTCAAACACGGTTCCCAGGAGGACATCCCGGTTTCAGAGCTCCGAACCCCCTGGAGCTGGCACCTCGTTCTGTTTATAACCTCCCGTTGACGGCTGCTGCCATGGAGAGGAGCCACACACCGTGCTGTGGGCATTGCCGTTGGCTTTCCTGGGACCTCACCGACCTCGTTGCACAGCAAGAGTAATGCCAGGGAAGCTGGTGGATTTGGGAGTCTATGAAAAGGTGGTAAGGGCAGACTTGAGCCCCAAACATGACTGATATCAGCATGATGGGCTTCTTTTGGGAAACAGCAGAGAAGCAGGATGAGCAATAAACCCCCAAACCCTGTGAGCGAGGCTACATCTCTGCTGCCCAAGCTTTCTGCTTTGATTTTCATCCCCCCAAAGAAAAGCCTTGGCAGAGGGGAGAAGGCACGACCCAGAGCATTTTCCAGTGCTATTCCATTAATAACCCAGGATGGATTTAGAGATCCCCCCCTGCACTCTGTCCATGTTATAAGCAAAGGCTCATTGTCACAGCTGTCAATTTAAGCCAGTTTCAAAAAAAAACCAGAACAAAAACCAAAGGAAAGGACTTTTCCTTTCCAGTGACAGCTGCAACACCCAATCTCCGCCCCAGACTGGCTGTGGGCTGTGTGGGTCAGGGCAGCCCCAAAGAGTATCTCTGAACATCAAGGAGAGACAGCAGTGAGCCCTAGGCTGTACTAGGAGCAGTTAATCCACAGACTGATGGGATCTGCACCACAAATCCCAGACTCCCCAGGCACTGGGTTGCATTGGTCTGTGCCTGAGCAAATGGGGATTTTACAAGGGTGGCCTCCAATAAATCAAAATAAACCACATCCTAATTACAAGGGTCACCCATAGCTACTTACCAAACACCTTCTCCATGGGGGAACAGTTGTCAAACCCCCAAAAAACTGGCACACAAGGAGGGAGAGGAATGGGAATTTTGAAGAAAGCCCAGGAATTGCTTGATTTATTGACTCTATTTAGTTTCTAAATGAAAAGCAACCAGTCAAGCAAAGGAAAAAGACAAGACTCGGTGTGATAAAATCAGCTATAGAAAGAACTGGAAAAGTACTTCCACATCCTTTGTTTTTAATTCTGATAAAAAGGGCCTGTCCTCTCCTTCTCCAACAACCCAGGTCCCTCTGCTATCACTGCATCAAGCCGAAGGTCTCTTCCTTGCAAAGAGATTGATGCAAGGAGGGGCTCTGTAGCTCCCTGGACATTAGAGACAGCTACTAATTACACGACAGAGCAGAGCACTGATGGGTTGTGGGTGGTCAACAGACAAACACAAAAGGTGGAAACTTAATATCTGAAAGTTCCTGCAACATGGGACAGCAGGGCTAGGTCAAGGCCGTGCCGATACCTGGGAACAAGACCCCGTTATTCCGTTGGAAGCATCGTGAGGCACTTGCAAACCCCAGCCCAGAGACACGGGCTCTGGGGAAACACCCTCTGGTTCTTAGCTGTGAAAAGAATTACCCATCAAGTAACACGCAAAATCAGGAGCATCCCTGACAGGGTTGGCCCACAAACAGAGCAGTGGGTGCTCAAGCACACAGAAGACAAGACCGATGCTCTCGCTATTCTCCACATATTCTCTATATTAAGGCATTTAGACCTTAGCAGAAGGTTGGCTTCTCCTAAACAAGCATCTAAACCAGAAACCCACGGAAACCCCATCCTGGAAACACTCGCCAGCAGCCAGCGCTGCGTGTTCGCAACCCCAGGGTCGCTGCTGTGTGGTCAGGGCTCCTTTACCGCCGAAACCTCACCCCGCTACTAAAAACATGAAAAACCTCAGCCATCTCCCTCCTCTTCCAAGGAAAGGGAAGCGCTGTGCCAGGCTGGTAAGATAAAGCCTTGCAGATCTCTGCGGGACGACATGCTCGCGCAATCGCTCCAAGCACATAATTAAGGGCAGGGATTGGTAATTAAAGACAGAGTGGCACGAAGCGCTGCTTTATGTTTTTCCATTTTCAAGAATTTCTTGTCTTTTGGGCTGTAAAGGGCTCCCCGCTGCCACATCAGCATAACTTTAATAACGCACTGGTGGGATGACAGGGGGAGTGCCTTTCCTATCCTAATTAAGAAAAGAAACCACGAGGGTAACTGGGCTCCCAGATGATCACCCGGCTCTCTGCCCAGCCCAGCCCGTGGAGTACAGCCTTGCAGCCCCAACATGCTCCCTCTGCTTCTGCCTCTTGACGGGAAAGAGCGAACTTCAGTCATCAATACGTCTTAAAAACACTCCACACAGGAAAGTACAGTTACCACTAAGGAAATGGGGTCATTTCTCCACATCTGGGTCTCTCAGGACAACTGGGTGCAAAGGACGCTGAGCCAGATCTCTGGGAGATGTGGCCCTAATCCTATTTGGCCATGCAATGCTTTATTCCTTCTGTCTGTTTTCCTCCTATGTCCATCTTCCTACCGTCTCCTTCTCTTTCAGACTAAGTTTTTTCCCTGGATGACTCTCCACTATCCCTACAAATGGTTCCAAATGGCATCTACTAGTACAGGAACCAAAACTCTCTTGGGGCCACAAGCCAGCACCTGGATATAAATCCTGACTCTGCCAGGTCGCAGCTTCTTTTGTATTTCTCACTTCCCTTAACAAAAATAATAAATATGTAATGCATAATATCATGGAACACAAGGAGTCCTTTCTGTTCCCATCAGCCACATCCACTGCCTTTTCAGCTCCACTGATCCAGGATGTCGTCAACCAGGATGCTCCACTGAGGACCCAGGCGAGGAGGGGACCAGGGTCATTTGCTCCCTAGTTTTGATCAAGCAGTTCCCTTCATGCAAGCCACAGTGTGCATGGTGACACGTGCCTATACATTCATTACCAGCTAATTAGGATGTTTTGGAGCAGGTTGTCTCCTGCTCTCCAACGCCCAGCATGGGGATATTTGGAGGATGGATGGATCAGGTTTTCCAGCACCCCCTGCCTGGGCATGACGGTGCTGCTCTCCTCCACAACTGGGATGTGACGGGGAAAGGAAAATGGAAAAGGAGGAAAAGGCCTGTGGGTAAGCATGAAGCAACCTGGTAACAAAACCATGCGTGGGAGAAATGTCGGTGGGGTTGGAGACTACTGAGGATTTTGAAGGTTGGGGCAAGCTGAGAAGGTTTTGACCCCCTGGCTCCCTCACAGCCCTGGCCGATGGTTTTAAGGACTTTCCTTCACTGTGGTGGATTTGTTCCGCCTGATGCTGCAGGTGTGCAACAAGCAGTTCCCTCCAGCACCCACGTTTGCCCACCACGGCCCCCCCTTCCCACTCTCCTGAGCCTGTGTGTAGCCCTGAGGACACAAGGACCAGGGAGAGGACAATGACCCACTGGGTGACAGTGGCTTTAAAGCTGACTCACCAGGACTGCGGCTTCCTCTTCATGATGCCCTGGCGTCTCCACTGCGAGTGGGGGCTGAGGTGGTAGGTGAGCTGCCGGCAAAGCTTCTCCATGGCCCCGAGGGAATCCCCCTCCTGCAGAGACAAGGGAGGGGTCAGGGAACAGTTTGGACTGGAAGGGAGGTGGGACAGAGGATACAGAGTTCAGCCTTCACAGATGACGATGCTGCCAGGAAAAAGCCTGTTTCATGGAGCTGGGATATGCCCTTTCTCTGAGCATCCCACTCACTGGCCAGCTGATAAGCTTATGTCGCTGCAGATCCATCAGCTACACAACTAGAAACATCCACGAGTTTGCAAAAGCTCTTGGAGCTGCGATCTTGGCACAGCTGTATAGGTCCTACATCAACAGGGTGGGAAACCCGGGCCACACATGCAGCAAAACTACTTTCAGCAAGACCCAAACAGGGGGGCAAACCCAACCTGCAAGGAGCAAGAAAGTGGTACAGCACCCTCTTTCCTTTTAATTCATCCTGGCTGCTCGGCTGGAAAGCTTAGTGGAGAGACCTGCTTGCAGAGCACATTTATGCAGCACCTCATCTCTGAGCACGACTCGTGGAGCCCACAAAGAGCAAACCCAGGTGGTGCAAGCATCAGCTCAGAGATGCAGTTTTTGGGCAATGTCTTGGCTCCTACTCGACATGCCCTCTCCCAGCTGGTACGGACCCAGCGCCAGCCCCAGCCATCAGACATGATGCTGAGCACAGGACAGAGGAGGGATGAGGAGAAAGCTGAGAGTGGAGGCTCTTCCCTGCAAAGGGCCCCTTTCCTGTCATTCCTCCTCCATCTTCGCCTGCCTCTGGAGCAGAAGGCTGCTCGCTGCTGGGAGGAGCCCAGAGATTCAAGGGATTTTAATCCCTTAACAGATTTCAGCTGGGAGAGGGACTCATGGCACACACCCCTTCCACAATCTGCAACCAGCCCCATGCCAATGGGGTCTTGTTCATCTGGAAAATGAGGGGGAGAGGAATGAGCCCTGTCTGTCCCCATGGCAGAGCAGGTGCCCCAGGCATGTTCCAGGGATCACCAGCTCCCAATCCTGGCTCCAGCTCCGAAAAGATTGGAGGAAGGGATGGAGCAACAGTGCTTGAAATGGGAATCAGACCCCAGGGATAAAGGAGAGCAGGTAAAGCTCACCCCATGGTGTCCTGCTAATCCTGCCCTGGTCTCTGCCTGGGGACCTCTTTTATCATAGAGTCACAGAACACTTTGGGTTGGGAGGGAACTTAAAGCCCCCCAGTCCCCCCCCCTGCCATGGGCAGGGACACCTTCCACTAGACCAGGTTGCTCCAAGCCTCATCCAGCCTGGCCTGGGACACTTCCAGGGATGGGGCATCCACAGCTTCTCTGGGCAACCTGTCGCAGTGCCTCCCCACCCTCTCCGGGAAGAATTCCTCCCTTCTGTTCCATCTCATTCTCCCTCTTTTCATTTAAACCTGTTACCCCTTGTCCTGTCACTCCCCGCCCTTGGGAAAAGTCCACCCCCAAATAACGACGACATCACTACCTGCTCTCCTCGCATCACTGCGCTATGACACCGAGTCCATGCGAAGAGGGCAGAGCTCTATTCACAACCCAAATTTCTGCTCCTAAAGAAGCAATCAGAGAGCTTAGAGGAGGACACAAAGCATATGAAAGTCTTGGGATTAAGATGTTATAATTTGTTTTCATTAAGAAATGAATCACCAGCTCCTCCCCCAGCAGCAGAATCCCCGGTGGCATGCAGAGCCTGGGGGGTGTGAGGAGGAGTAGGGGGAGGGTGTTGCACCAGGGGCCAAACATCGTTTAAAATAGGACAATGTTAATCATTGAAGAGCCCTGATAAAGAATTCCTG